GATAGCTAAGGATGTTGAACATTTTGAAAACATCAAGGATGTCATTTGCGTTTTCTCTTGTGAGAACTCTCTGTTAAGTTCTATATCTTAATTTTTAATTGGGTTATTTTCCTGATGTTGTTTTTTTGTTGTTTATATATTATTGAAATTAATCTTTTAACAGATGTATAATTAAAGATTTTTTTCCCCATTCTGCAGGCTCCCACTTTGCTTGAATGATGGTGTCCTTTGCTTTACAGAAGCTTTTTAGCTTCATGAGGTCCCATTTATTGTTGTTCTTAATGCCTTTGCTATCAGCATCCTGTTCAGAAAATCCTTTCCTGTGACAATGAGTTCACACTTATTACCCACTTCCTCTTCTGTCGGGTTACTCTTCTGTAAGGTTCAGGGTATGTCAGGTCTTTCATTCAGGTCCTTGATCCATTTAGAGTTAGTTTTGTGCTGGGTGATAGATATGTATCTATTTACATTCTAAATGCAGCTATCCAGATTGACCAGCACCATTTGTTGAAGATGCTCTCTTTTCTTCAGTCTATATTTTTGGTTTCTTTGTAAAAAATCAGGTGTTTGTATGTATGTGGAGTTTTGTCTGGCTCATCAATTCTATTCTGTTGATCAGCGTGTGTGTGTGTGTGTGTGTGTGTGTGTGTGTGTGTGTGTGTGTATTTTCTGAGACAGAATTTCACTATGTAGATGTGGCTGGCCGGAAGCTCACTATCTAGATCAGGCTAGACTCCAATTCACAGAGATCTGCCTGCCTCTGCCTTCTGAGTGCTAGAATTAAAGGTATACATTAACCACTTCATGGCTGTTTTCTGCCAGGCCCATGCTGTTTTTATTACAATAGCTCTGTAATAGGACTTGAAATCTGAGATAATGATATCTTAAGATGTTTTATTTCTTAAGCTATATGTGTGAGTCAGATATGCTAAGTGTCAGCCTCAGGATCTTCTGCAAATACTATAATCCATAGGCCATCTTTAGTCTATTATATAAAATGGTGTTTTGTGTGCAACTGTGACATTTTCCTGTATACTTTAGACCATCTCTAAATTAATTATAATACTTAAAACAATGTAAATGCCATGTAAATAGTTGTTATACTAAGTTTGTAGGGGATAAAAACAAGGAAAAAACTCTACATGTTCTGTATGGAAGTAGCTTCAGAGATGATAGGAATTTTCTGTACATTTGGTTTGTAATAGGGCTTCATTCAGCTATTGAGTTCTTAATTGTTATAATTTGTGATTGGTTGAATCTGCAGATGTTACAGTATCTATGGATATGGAGTACTAAACATATTTAAAAGTAAGGTACTCTACTTTCTGGGGAAAACACATAGGAATAGTAATACCAATTAGGCATAAATAAGCATTTTTTTCTATTCTTGAATGTAATTAAAGTCTAAACTTTTAAGAGATTACATGGGATACCCTCATTGGTTTTGTGTGTGTAGTTGTAAGTACATGTAAAGTGTTAACGCTGCTTTATAGAAGGTAGAGTTGAGATTGGTCTTAGGTAGCCCAAGCCTTCTTGTACTCATTATGTAGTCAAGGATGGCCTTGAAATCTTTATACTCTTGCCTGTGCTTCCTAACTGCTAGATTACAAGCATGCCTTTGATCTGCTATGGGCTTGTTTATTTGGTTGGTTGGTTTTTATTTTTGACAAGAGAGAATATGATCATATTTCAATTCATAATCTATTAAACCTGGTATTATAACAAAGTAAATAGAAAACACATTATTTCATCTGCAGTGAATGATGATCTGCTAGGAAAGACCAAGTTTTCAATTTAATTTGACTTTAATGTAAACAGTCACATGGAGCACAATTTCAAATTTCTTGGGATCTGTTAATGTTTCTGAATTGATACAAATTCCTGGATATAATTGTGACCTTTTAGGCAGAAATAGTCTGTCATTTTTTTAAATTCTCCAAAATGGATAATCAGTATAGAGTTAGAAACAGTATTACTTTTAGTAATTGATATAGAACTAGTGTATTATTTTTTATAATGAGTAAAATGTGACAAAGTAAGCATTCCTGTCTTTTGGTGTTCTGATGTCATTATAACTGAAATTTGCTTGGATGTGAGAACTAGGGTAGTTCTTAAGCACAAATTATTTTTCATGCTGCCATTTTGCTAGTTAATTATATGCGATACCTCATTTAGTTCTGTCAGCCATGGGATGTAGTTGTTACTATCCTTATTTCACTTAAAAATGAACAGTCGCTTCAACCTATGGCCATGCTCATGCCTCAGATCTATGGCTACTTTCTAGATGTCATGCTTCAGACACCACTGACACCATTACTGAAGGCACATCTGCTGCCAGCCAGATTCAGTTCCAGGAGGGAGCTCGACCATGACTTTTCAGGTGGAAAAAAAGGCCAGAAAGAACCCACCAGACTTCCTACTAAAGAGCACAATAGCCCTTGCTACCTCACTGGACACCCAAGCTAAGATGATGAGAACCTGTCTGTAGTCTTTGCTACTCTGGCCTCAGGTAGCAGACCTAAAGGTCTCAGCTCCGCCTCTGCTGAACCAGAGCTGCTGCACCTCACCTTGTTGCCAACTATCATGGCACGCACTAGTACCAGTTCATAAAGTAAAAGAACAGGCCATCCAAGATGTGTATGTCATGCAAAGCAAGAAGCATGGGAAAAAATAAAACAGGAAACAAGATACCACCGAACAGGTGCAACACTTTTTCAGTAACTGCCCTCAAAGAAGAAAACTTCCTGGAAAAGACTTCAAAATTGTTTTAGAGAAGCTCAGCAAACTATGAGAGAATATGGACAATAAAATCAGGAGAATAATTCTTAAGTATAGCAGTGAGACTGAAATAAAGAACCAAACAATTTTGAAACTGAGAAATACAATGAAAGAAATGAAAAATGCAACAGAGGGCACAGGGGAGATTTGGTCAAATAAAGAGATCTATGAAATGCAGTTATTTGGGGAAATCCCATTAGAGAAGAAACTAAGAAGAAAGCCTAGAGGAAGCCATGAAGAGGTAGGAAACCTTTTCAGGGAAGTAAATGACTGAAAACTAATTGTATCTTAGAAACTGTATATCAAGGTACAGGAGGATCAGGAGTTTCCACAGACACCACTGGCAGGTTGGTGAGATGGCTTTGCAGGTGAGAAAGACTTGATTGGTTCCTGGAGCCCACGTGGTAGAAAGAGTACTGGCTCCAGCAATAGTGCTCTGAGTACCACACTTGTCCTATGGCATGTGAACACCCACATAAAACACATACTACATGAAGAACAAATCACTGGCGGGCTCTTGAATGTGGCAAGAGATCTGCGTATAGAAGGAGACTCGGGAAGCTGTCATCAGATTTTCAAAAGGTTTTCAAGCCCAGAAAACCATGAAATAACAAGGTGCTCAGAGGCAAATAAACTTCCAGGTAAGAACACTTCACCCAGCAAAGCTATTCTTCAAACATGGAGACAGAATAACAAGCTGAGGAGGAGTGTACCACCAGTAAACCTGACATACACACACACACACACACACACACACACACACACACACACACACACACATATATAATATATATATGTATGTATATGTATATCATTATAAAAGGCATTCTTTAAGCTGAAAGAAAAGTTAACTGGTAACAGCCAAACAGTTGGTGGTCAAAGTAATAGTCAAGTCAGCATTCTCTGATTTTTGCTAATATACTATAATAGTGATGTAGAAAGAACCTGAGTCTTCACTGTGAAAGTAGGACAACCAAGGACTAACTAGCAATATTAGTTTATAATGGCTACAGATATAAAAGTATCATTGTGATGGCAAGTCATGAAATGGGAGAGGAGTAAAAGTATGGAGATTTTGTATGCAATTGAGGTTATATTGTGGTTAGCTGTAATGTGAGTATGTTTCCCTAAGAATACATGTGTTCCTAGTATGGCAATGGTGAGAGAATGTGTGAGCTTTGAGAGGGGACTCTTACTCGGAGGTCATGTGGTCATGCCCTAAGGTAATTCTTACAAGAGTTGCTGTAAAATAAGAAGAGTAACTCCTCACTGGTTTCACTGGCTTCTAATCTCACCTTATGATATCTGACTTCATCACTACCATAGTAATGCCATTTGGCATAATATAATACAGCCAGGAATTCTTCACCAGAAGCAGAAGGGGTTGCAATAACTGGGTTGCCGTTCTTGGACTTTCATCAAAAACATCAGCTAAAATAAACCTCTTTTCTTCACAGGATACCAAGTGTCAGCTACTTCATTATAGAATAGTAACAACTAGCTAGTACATTTGTTTCCAGCTTAAAATAGACTCACAGCTGAATCACTTTTATGTCTCATGGTTACCACATGCAAAAACTCAGACTACAGAAAAGATTAGGGAATCAAAGCACAACAGAAAATCACTAGATCATGAAGAACAAAGAGATTGTATTTTTAAAATAGCAACAATGAAAATGGCACTAAGAAATCTGTATCTAATTAATAGTTAATTCTTGAATGTAAAAGATTAAATTCTTAAGACAAGAATTGCTGAATGGATTGAGGAAAAACAAAGGCCCAACTATAAACACCTCAATAAGAGATTTCAGCTTTAAAGAACATACAAATGCAAAACAAAGTACAAGGAGTTTAAAAAAAGATACTCCATGAATATATAAACAAGAAGAGAGCAGGGGTTAGTGATACCCATAGCAGAAAAAAACAGACAAAACCTGTAAAAAAAAAAAAAAAGGTCATTATATACTGGTAAGTAGTTTATCAAAAGATAGAAAATTATAAATATACACATACCCAACTTTGGGGTAACTAATGTAAAAGGAAAAAAATTGAGATCAGATCTCCCTATGTAGCCCAAGCTGGTGTGGAATTTAGTGTATACCCCAGGCTGACACTGAATTCAATATCCTGAATTTATCTCTCAAGTGCTGGGCTTGCTGGTGTACCCTTTTGCTACCTGTCTGGATGAAGCAAATTTGAATATTTATGACAAAACATACTAGTTAAGTAACAATAGATTTTAATAAGTCACATTCAACAGTAGGTAAATCATCCACATAGACTATCTAAAAACCAGCACTGGACTTGAGCTCCACTTTGGATCAAATGTACCTAACAGACCATTCTATTCAACAGCAGCAGAATGTCCATTCTTTTGAGGCACACAAGAAACATTCTCTAGGGCACATTATAGATAGTACACAAAATAAACCTTAACAAGTTTGACTTAAACTGTATCTGTAAGGCCAGTGAGATGGCTTCCTGGGCAGAAGTGCTTGTCTGGCAAGCCTCACAACCTGAGTTCAGTTCCTGAAATCCACAGTGGAAGGAGAGAACTGACTCCTGCCTTCCACAAGTTGTCTCTGGCTTCCACTTGTTCTTTATGGCATGTGGTGCCTGAAGTCACACATTTATAGACAAAAGAGTAATAAACTAAACAAAAAACTTGCATCATGAACCTTTTACATTTAAAATGGAATGAAACTAGAAATGAGTAAAAGTTTGGGAAAATTGGCAAATAAATGGAAATTAAACGTTTTTCCTAAAAAGCCAATAGATCAATGAATGAATTTACAGAGAAATTGTAAAATATCATTAGAGAAAGTAAAGTGGAAAACAACATACTAGAATATAGCAAAAGCTGTTATTAATAAGGAGGCTTGTAGAAATGCCTACATTACAAAAAAGTATGTGAAGTAATGTTAAGATATAAGGAAGTCAGAAAAGAATAAATTAGCCCTGTTATTGTACGGTAAGAAATAATAAAGATCAGCACAGAAACAATGGCCAGTATCTGTAATGAATATAAATGCAAAACCCTTTACAAAAATAATTCAGTTAAAGGATTTAATTCATCAATTAAAATAATCATGAGCCATTATTTAGTGGAATTTATTCCTTGGATGCAAAGATGATTCAATATGCAAATTGATGAATATATTATGCTAACAGAACAAGAACAGAACTTTACATGATCATCTCAATAAATGGGAAAAAACTGAAACAATTCAACATTCTTTCTTGGTTAAAATTACCAATTTAGGTATCAAAGAAATGTATCATACAATTTACATGTGAAAAGCTCCCAGGTAATATCTTAGTAATAGTAAACTTGCAAGCTTTCCTTTAAGATAAGGAACAAGACAAGGATACTTATTGTTCAGGCTGGTATAAGGAAACATTTTAGACCAGGAAATGTATGAACTACAGAGATATTACTACTTGTATTTCTGGAGGGTAGGGAGTCTTCAGGTCAAAGAACTTACAGATTGAATTCTTGGAAATGTCTTCATACATGACACTTGTCTTCTAGCTAGGTTTTCACATGGTACTGGGAGTGGACAAGTCCACTGGCTTCTTGCAAGGACACCTATCCTGTGATGAAAGCAGAACCAGTTATTTCCCAGTGACTACCTCTTAGAATCACAACACTGCTGTTAAGCTTCAGTATAGGAAGTCTAAGGGGGCATGGACATTGAATCTGTAGAACCCTGCTGCTTCCCAGTCAAGACTGGAATTCCTAGCCAAATAGGGAAAAGGACATACAAATGCAAAAGGAAGATGCTAAATAGGGTGTTTAGAAATGCTATGATCTTGTGGTAAAAACAGGTACCCTGAAAATTGTTAGAAATAAGAAATCAGTTAACTTGCTGTATATAAAATCAATGTATAATACTGTTTCTATACACTAATTCTAAACTGAAAATGCAATCAAGAATAAAAGTTCCTTTTACAGTCACGTGAAAACAAAGATAATTTAGGATTGACTTCAATAAAAGCAGTGAAAGATGTGTATACTAAAAGCTATAAAATATTAATTAAAAACATCAAAGTAGACACAAATAAATGGAAAGATACTCTAATTATAGGCATTGTGGCAGATGCCTGTAATCCTATTCTTCAGTTCTTTCTCTGGAAACTAGTCATTTGTGTCCAGTTCATCTTGGAGAAAGATGCCAGGAGCATATAAATAGGAAGTGATAATCTCTTAAATGTTGGGAAAATTGGACAGACATCTACAGAATTATGGAATTGAATCCTTATGCCATTCCATATTCCTACATTAATTTAAAATGAATGAAGATGTTAAACTCCTAGGAGAAAGTAGAGAGAAGTTTGATGCACAGTCTTGGCAAAGATTTTCTGGGTCTGGCCTTAAAACACAGGCAACAAATGCAAAAACAGACAAATGGGAGTGCATTAGACTGAAACCTGATGTACAACAAAAGAAACAATATAAACAGCCTATAGAATGGGAGAGAATATTTGCTAATCATACATCTAACAAGGTAATGGTCAAAGTACATATTCAAGCCAGACAAACAGTAATAAAACAATTAAAATTGATCAAAGGACCCAAGTAGACTTTTCTCTAAAGAAGACATACAGATGGCCAACAGGTACTTCAAAACAAAGTAAATGCAACTCAGCAGTACTACTTATCAGAAAAATACCAACTAAAACAACAATGAGATACTGTCTTACACGGGTATGTTAGTGTGGTTAGGAGAAAGGTTACAAGTCCTGGAGGGAGTACAGAGTAAAGGAAAACTTTGCACATTGTTGATAATGTAAATTAGTACAGTCATTATGGAAAAAAGAAATTTCTTCAGGAAGCTCAAAATACAACTAACACCTATATTCCAGCAATCCTACTCTGGGTATTTGTCCAAAGGGAATGAAATCAGTAAATTGAGTTCATTTCTGCATTACCATTTTCATATTCACCCACTATCAACTATGTAATGGAATATTATTCAGCCTTTTAAAAAAGTGAAATACATCACTTGTTAAGTAGTTGAACATAGAAGTCAATAATGGAAAATGAAAGCATTATCTCACTTAGAAGGAGACTCTAAAGAAGTCATAACCTAGAAGCACAGAAGAACTGTGCGTACCAGAGCTGTCATGGGATGAAGTGGGGGGGGGGAGGGGAGCAGGAGGAGAATGCTGGTGACAGAGACAGTCTTTCCATTTAGGAGACGTAAGTCCCGGAGCTCTTTTGTCAGTATGCGGACTATTGGATGTAACATGACATTGTATGCTTGAAAGTTGCTGAGAGTGGATGTTAAGTGTTGTCACAACTAAACTGTGAATGTGGCAAGGGATGATTTCTAATGAGCCTCATTTAATCACCTCATATTGACTTGTATAAGAAAACATCACGCTCTGTACAAAGAATCATGTATAATTTTTGTCAGTTTTCCCATAATAAATCTCATTAAAAAATAATGGTTTTATGTTGTCTTAGAAAAATCTAAGTCCTGCGAAACTATTTTGATAAGTGATCTTTTAATGAAAATGCTGCCATTAAGTTTTTAAAACCAAATTTTCATTCTTAGAAAACAGAGCTAATGAAAATTTATATGTACTTTCAGTGGAATAGTTCTTGGATTCCAAATGTGTATTTTTGATAACATCAGTCAATTTTATCTTCTTTTGAGACAAGGTCTCACTATGTAACCCTGGCTGGCCTGGTACTAGCAATGCAGACCAGGCTGGCCTTGAAGTCAGAGATTGGATGCCTGTCTCTGCCTCCTGAGTGCCGGGATTAAGGAATGTGCCACCATGCCTGGCTCCACATCACTGTTTCTAAAACTGGGATGTATATAAATATACATAAGTCATGAGTACAATTAATAGATTTCTCCAAATCATATTTCTGTTATTTATGGTGTATCTTTAAATTGGTGTTGTCTTAGCATTGAGGAAGTGCAGTAGTTGAATTTGTGCATGTAAAAATTTTTAAAGATTGTTTACAATATTAACATTTATTGCTTTTAAAAATGATGTAAGTGTGAATTTTATGTCTATTTGTTATATAGTAGAATGGTGTGAGTATGTGAAGTTTAATTTGGATTATTTCCAAACTACTTCAATCATGTTAATGTTTTTAAATATTCATGGTCAGACTTAGTCATAACTAAAGAGAAAGCCTTAGCGGCATATAAGTATCTAAACAAAATGTTGAAAATTCTGTAGAAATACCCTCCTATAGCTCAGTTTATTGGCTTCAAATTTGCCCTATATCCCTGCTACATCAAAAGATCTCAGGTTGCAGATTCAGTTGAATACACTCTATTTTCCTTGTTATAAAACAAATTGAATAATAGAAGTCTATCTAGATGATACTTTAAATATCATTAGTTAAGCTAGTCTCCATTGGAACTGAATGTCTTCAAGGACTTGCCTCAAAGGAAAAGCATGCTACAAACCTTTAAAGGATGGTCTGGTTAATTTTAGGTGCAAACATCAGTGAAAACTATTTTTATAACAGTTATTGTTAAGGATCAGATTTTAAAGTTCCATGGGTTTTTGTTCCCTGGCACTTAAGTGTTTTCAATGTAAGTTTAGCTACTTTGCAGAATACAAGGTTATTTGGGAATGTATAAAGTATTTCAGAAATGCCTCGACTTACTTTTGCTTAAGTTGCAGTCACCTTTTCTAAGTAACAAAGGTACTTTTATTTTGGCTTCTGTTTGTTTTGATTTTGCTGCTGCTGAGGTAGTTTTAGTACTTTTCTCCTCTTTTTGGAGCTGTAGTAGTGTTGGGAGAACTACCAGTACTCTTCATAGGTAGTGCCTTAGCAAAAGATAGTTTCTTCTGAGCTGTTTTAATTGGAAGTTCAGAACTTTTTTGTTGGATTTTAACTCCACTTTCCCTTCAGCTGGATCTTTAGGTAGTGTTCAGTCTACATAATTGTCTACTTTGTTGAACAAAAGAAGTATGTGTACATGCATGTACACATACAGAATGCTTATTGAATTATTGATTTGTCCTTTGCAAGTATGCTTCAGTCTGCTTTACAAATTCATTATGCTTTTGGTTCTCTATGTCCATAGTTGTCAATATACATAAGAATTGTATAAGGACAGTTAAGAATACTTAACAGACCATTAAGTCTCAAAGTTCTTTCTATTAGCTGGATGATGGTGGTACACACCTTTAATCCCAGCACTCAGGAGGCAGAGGCAGAGGCAGGTGGATCTCTGAGAGTTTCAGGCCAGCCTGGTCTACGGAATGAGTTACAGTATATCCAGCGAAATCCTGTCTTGAAAAACAAAACAAAAATCAAACCAAACCAAATTCTATTCAAGAGAAAAAGGGTGGTATTGCCGGGCGGTGGTGGCGCACGCCTTTAATCCCAGCACTCGGGAGGCAGAGCCAGGCGGATCTCTGTGAGTTCGAGGCCAGCCTGGGCTACCAAGTGAGTTCCAGGAGAGGCGCAAAGCTACACAGAGAAACCCTGTCTCGAAAAAACCAAAAAAAAAAAAAAAAAAAAAAGGGTGGTAGCAATAGTGTATATAAATATATACCCCAACTTCTTTCTTTCTTCCTTTGTGTTGAGAGGGTTTGAGAGAGGGAGAAGGAGAGTCGAACTAAATTTTCTCGGTGATGTGTGAGTTCTTTTAAAGTCATACTAGAAGCTTAGTTTAGGCAGTTTACATGGTTAATTTTGCTGGCTAAACTAGGTTCTAGGTTAATTTAAATAATGGTTCACATTGTGCCACTCTTTCATTTATATTTGAAAACCCTTTAATACCCTCACCCCTTAATTTTGTTTCTCATTAGAATTCCTAAAGTCCACATTTCTTTCCTTCTGTCTTTTTTATTTTATTTTTGTGGTTATGGGGGCAGAATCTTGCTGTATAGCCCATGCTGGGCTTCGATCCACTATCTTCCTGCCTACAAATCCCTGAGTCCCAGGATTAGGGGCATGAGCCAGCATGTCTGGCAGTCAGTGAACACTTTAAGAACTTGTTAACTGATCCTAATGGCATAAAGTATTTTTGAAGGAGATATTTATTAAGATACATGCTGAGCTGTCATATGAGGGGAACCTCCATATACATAGGATTTTTTTTTCTCAACAGTAATTAGGCATGCCCAGATTTTGCTGAGGATCTATTAGCTTGAAATCTCCCTAAGATCCTGCACTGATTCACTAGCACTTCATCTTTGTTTCCACACCCAACTAGTTTTAAGGAGCCACTCAATTAGATTTAAAGGTAAGGTCTAGCAAATGCACCAATTATCTTGGCTTACCTCTTATAGTCAGACTTTGAAACTTAGATTTCAAAGCATTTCAGATTGGAAAATAAGAGTCTCCAGCTGCTCTGCTCAGGGCTCAGAGTTCTGTTACCAAAAAGTTGAATATGTTAGTATTTACAATCCCAGCATTCTGGATTTTGAGTATGAAGGACCATGAACTTGAGAGCAATTTGGGGCTATAAAGTGAGTCTGAGATTAGCCTGAAGTACATGGTATAATTATCTCTCAAAAACCACACACACACACACACACACACACACACACACACACACACACACAAAAGACAGAAAAATGACTAGGTACTGGGAGAGGGACTGCATATGTGCTGTCGATTTGCTTATCTTTGGTTTTCCATACAGTCATCTACCCCTTTCTTCTATATAAAACATACCAGTTCCTCAGAGATGACAAGCTAGAACCATAGAGTGGAGTAGAGTATTCCTCTATTATGTTCAGATGTGGCTCATCATCTTGTGATGAGCTACAAATTAGTGGACATATTTTATATCCCTCTTGACCTTCTGTTTCTTACATGGTGCAGCAAGGACAGGAAAATGACAATAAAACTAATAGGAGGGCTGAGAAAAGGGTCAGTGGGTAAAGTGCTTGCTATGTAAGAATGAGGCTCTGAGTTTTGATCCCCAGCTCACATGTAAAAATCTGGGTGGAGCCTAGCTATAATACCAGTGCTGGGAGACGGAGGCAGGGATCCCAGGAGAGCTGGCCATTGAGTGTAGTTAATTGGTGAACTCCAGGTCAGCCAATGAGAAGCCCTATCCCCCCAATCAGGAGAGCACGCTAAGAAGATACCTGAGGTCTACACCTCTGGCTTCAACAGGTGCATCCAACATCACCCACATACAACTCTCATTGGGTAAGAAGAAAAATGTGGCTAGATATGCACAATAGCTCCTGGTCTTTATAATACCAAGACTTGCTGTAGTAGTGAAGTAATGTCTTAGAGGAACCCTGATTTTGTTTTGTGAAGTAACAGTCTTTTGTTTTTGTAGCATCTCACCTTTCTGGAAATTTATTCTCATTTCTTTTGTGATTATATGACTTTTATACCATTATAGGATGTTACACTACATTCTTAACCCTGAATCCCCAGGATTAGTTTCTGTTAGTCTCATGGTAGCTAACAGAAACTAACAGAGTTCTCAATGTTTCAATTTTTTTTCCACCTAGTAAATTAGATACAAAAATACCAAAGTCAAATTTCTCCTTTGCTGGTAATTAAGCTTTGTTAATTTGCTGTTTCTTCAGACCATCCAACTCATCATCAATTTAATGAGTTGTCTTATTGTCAGGTTTACTATATACTTGCTTGAACAAAGCTTAAAAGCAAGATGAAGTTGGTGCAGTTAAATAAGCCAATAATTTAATAACCCACCAAAATAATTTTTTAGAGAAGGATCACACCGAACAATCTTCTTTTTATATGTTTGTGTGTTTGTATGGCCAATTATAAGATAGATGTATATGCATATATACACAAAGAATAATAATTAACAGTAGACACAGACCTTTAAATGACAGAGATGATGAGAGAAGAATATCTGTTGTGAACATACCTAAGGAAGACATAAAACAAGATAAACTGAAAATAAAATAACCACTGAACTTTGGGTATCCAAAATAGAAACCTGTTTTTTTATCTCAGCAAGAAAATGGCTATTTAGATTTGTTCACTAAATAAAATACTGCTACCCTTCATTAGAGTATATGATTTCAGAAACCAATGGTATAATAAAGTGGAAATGCTGAAAAGAAACATCCAAGTAATGCTATCTGTTCAGTGAAGTGCTTTTTTAAAACAGGGATAAATGACATTTCCAAATAAGTAAAAACTGACAAAACTCAATTTTTTCTTTTCTTTTCTTCTTTTTTTTTGCACCCCAGGATTAGGAATGTTCATTCTTGAGAGAGAGAGAGAGAGAGAGAGAGAGGGAGAGGAAAGGGGAGGGAGGGGAGGAGGGAGAGGAAGAGAGGGAGAGAGGGAGGGAGAGAAAGAGAGAATTATCTTGTAGGCATGGCCACTTTCCATTCTGGGTCCTTTCTGTCTTTATAGCATCTACTGCAGGTAACAGAGAAGCCGCCCCAGCAGCATCTAATGTAGCTGTTCTCACACTCTTTCTGAAATCAGTGATTCCCTCTTCTAACATGTTCACAAAATCTTCAAGCACAACATCCTAACTGGCTTCTAAAGAAACTTCACAGGATTTTCTCAAGTATCCGAGTTTCTTCAGTACCCGTATTCTTAGCAATAGTCGTTACAGGAGTTAAGTGCTATTTCAGTTCTACCACTGCCCTCATCTTTACCAGTACACTGTAATGAGGCCAAGCAGAACTCTCCCCACCCCCAACAATGCCGCGGCCTTCTACAGCTGCTCTTACAAGATTGGGAGCATCTGTAACTCCTCTCGTATAGTTCAACACCACTTGTCCTCCGAGCCATAGGACAGCCACTCTGATAGTTCAGCCAGTCATTTATTTAGCTTTTCAATTTGAACTTTGTCACCTGTTCAAGATCTAGTTTCAGCCCCTCTTCTCCAAACACTGAACCATCAGTAGCAATAGCCACATCTTTTTCTTTTTAAATTATTTTATTTTTTGAGATAACTAAATCATTTCCCTCTTTCCTTTCCTCCACTGAAACCCTACTATATAACTGTCCCTCCTTTACTTCAAAGTCTCCTTTTTTTCAATAATGGTTGTTACATGCATGTATGTATATGTATATACATATATATTCCTAAATATAACCTGCTTAGTCTGTATGGTATTACTTGTGGTATGTTTTTGGCTGACCAGTTGGTATTGGATAACCAATTAGTGTGTTCTTCCTGGGGAATGTTACTTCTCCTGCTCTCAGCATCCCTTACTTGTCTGTAGTTCTCTGTGTAGGGTTGAGGCCTCCTGGGCTTTCCCCTGTCCACTTTGGCATGTCTGTTGTTGTCATTGTTCAGCTTATGTTTAGGTAGTCTGCTGGTGAGACTTTATGGGTTTGGCTTCTGAAATTTAATAGGAGACACAATCTCTAAACTAACTCCCTAATTTTTGTCTCTTACAATTTTTCCAATCCTCCTCCTTCAGTGTTCCCTGAACCTTAGGGGCAGGAGTTGTTTTGTAGATATATATTCATTGGGAGTGGACTCTACTATGCAGTTTGATAGGTTGTGGTTTTCTGTACCGATGCCCATCTTTTTTAAAGAGAAGTTTCCTTGACAAGGGGTGAGGACAAATATTTAGAATGTAGTTAGGGATTATGATGGTATAATAAAGTGGTAGTTGTAACTTCTTCTCTAAGATCCATGATTTCACTAGGCCTGAGTAGTTGGCTAGATTTCAAGTACTAGATATTATTTCCCTTTTCTTTAGTGGGTCTTAGCAATTATATAGCTACTGGTTACTGCCTAGGTATGTGTGCCACTGTTATACCCTTAGGGTTATTGTGCCACACCAGTCATTGTGATTCATAGGTGTCATAGCTGGGTAGGATTGTTGGTTGCTTCCCTCCTTTAGAAGCTTGCATGTTCTTTCAGGTACCATAAAAGCTAGTCCCCAGAGAGGAGAATAGGTACATCTTTAAGCTGGTGCTATTATCTACAACCCTGAGCTTTGACTGCTACAACCTGAAAAGCAACTTTTATCCCATTCAATAGAAGTATACTTAGAATTTTTCCATCAATGTCTTCAGTGATTAGAACCAAAGACTTCTGGTGAGCATGGAAATATCAAGAGTAGGTACAATAGACTGGACACTAGAAGTTTCCTTTTCACTCAACAGAACATAGGCATCTTGGAAAAGCACATTTTCAACCTTTGGATGTATTAAAAACACATTGGGAAATATATCCTTGATCAAATGTCATGCCTTCAATATAATTCATCATCGAAGGTTTTCTATCCTTTAATGATTCCTTTTTTTTTTCCCCAAACTTTTGTCATCAAGTAAAAAATGATGTTTCCATTCCATTTGCAGAAATTGTAGCAACTTAAGAAATTTCTTCCCTGATTGTCACAGGTTTATATTGTTTTTTAAGATCGCCAATTAATAGCATCAGTAGCCAGCATGGCACTTCTCCTGATTTTCACTGGATTAGCACCTTTGCTGATCTTGTCAAAGCCTTCCTTAGCAATAGAGTATGCCAAAACAGTATCAATGGTGGTGCCATCCACAGTCTCATTTGTGTTACTGGCAAGGTCTTGAACAAATTTAATATTTTCATATTTACCCTTCAAATATATTGCCTTTGCAATAGTGATGCCATCTTTTGTTATTTTGGGACTTCCCCAACTCCTGTTCAGTAGTTGTTGTTCTTCACTTTGGCACCATGGTAATGGCTATAGCATTGGCTAAAAGGTGTTGTTGGTTGGTTGAACATGAAGAGTTGCGTTTCTGCACAAAATTTTAAAATCTTTAACAGAGGCCTGAGTGAGTTGAGGAGCCAATGCCTGGGAAACTGGTCTCATCTGTGAAAGAATTGTGGGTAGTGGAAACATTTCTGCACTGTGTTGGTGAGAGAGCTATTGATGAGGCAGGTGGTCAGCCATGAGTGAAGGACAGAAAATGGGCATTAAATACATTTTCATAAGATATTCAGGCTAAGGAAAAATCATACTTGTTTTAAACTCATATCTACAGAAAAGAAAGAAAGAATGATTGGAAATGGTAAATATATGGATCTGGAATATGTAAACCACATGTTTCCAAATAATATAGATGATAAAAATCAATAATATGAAATGTTTTTAGATGATACAAATCAATAATATGAAATGTTTTTAAGTGGGTGATATTACAAATTGCATACCTTGTGTATTTATGTTATTATTTTAATTCCATATATTACTGAAGTGATGCCGATAGGAATGTTTGGCTATAAATGTATATGTAGAAAAGAATGGTATAAAATCTGTGGTCTGTGCCTGCCTAAAAAACTCTAAAACTTATAGTAAATGCAATACAAAGCAAAAGGCGGGGTGGGGGGAGAACCCTAGAAATCAAGGAATAATGAACCACAGATCTTTGTTCAGACTGAGTTGATAAACAATTCTAGGCTGATTAGGAAAAATGACCCAAAGCAAGAAAACGATCACTAAAGATATTACAGGTATTATTACAATAACCATGGACTATTATGAGCGATTATGTGCTAATCAATGAAAACGTTAAGACCAAATAGTTTGATGATTTGCAACAAAATTATCAAATATTACTAAAGAGAAAACATGATAGACATTTTATCATTTAGAAACACTTACTTGATAATTAACAATCTTTCCACATGGAATTTCAGGCCTAGATGTTTTCACTGATTAAAAATTTTGAAATGGATTTGCAAATAATTACAATTCTATAAAAACTCCTTGAAAGGATAAAGGAGAAAAAAAATACTTCCCACTTCCTATGAGGCCAGCACTAGCTTGATTCTGACACTACACAAAAATGTAAGAAAGCAGCAAAAATATATCTGCTTTCACTGTAGCCAACAAAACATCCAAAGTAAATATCAAACAGAATGTGGCACAGTAGTCTAATCATGATCACACTCATTATGAGAGGAAGGAAAATGATTAAACACTGAACATTTAAATAAAAATTAATGCCAAAAGTAATGTGACAAAATTCAACCCCACTTATAATGACAACATATCAGCTACATAGACCCTTTCTCAAGACGGACAAAACACATTCAGACCACTGTTCCATAAGCATACATACCTTAGGACATCTCTCATTTGCCTATCTATGTATAGACCGGGAAGTTTGATAAAAGAATTACACCAGTAAGATAGACCAGTCGGATGTGTACATGGTATTTGCACAGGCATTAGTTATTAAAGGACCACCTCAAAATCCTTTGGGAAGCAGAAGATGCATATGAGAAAAAAATCTTCAGAGGTGTTGGCAAACAAACCCCTGAACCAAATCTGATTTGAAAGTAGTTATATTGGAACACAGCCCAGCCATCCATGATGTGTATGGCCTGTAGCTACTCTCATATTACAAAGGTAGAGCTGACTAGTTAGATCCTGTGGGCCACAAAGCCCAAAGTATTTACTGTCTGACTCTTCACAGAAAAAGTTTCTAACCTCTGGTCTAAAGGAAAACAATTCCAGAGAAGAAGAAGAAGAAGAGTTTTCTAGGTGAGCAAATACCAGTTGAGAAGTCTGACCCAGTTCCTTTTTCTAGGACAGCTCTTTCTTTTCCTTACATAGTCATTTCTTACAACTAGATATTCTCTCTTGATATTTAGTCATCATCAATTTGCAATATTAGTGAGCTAACCAAACCTTGTGTTAAAGGGGAGATTCAATCATACATGTCTTTCTTTAGGTCTCCATAGTCTAAGATGTAATACTGGAAAGCTCTTGCTTCAGTAACTACATTTCAAAGCCAAAATCTAGACTGTAGGTTCAAGCATAAAAGTGGTTAAGTGCACTTGCTGCTTTTGCAGAGGGCCTGGACTTGTTTCTCAGCACCCACCCACCTCTGTAAGTCCAGTTCTGGGGCCCCTTGCTCTCTCTTGCTTGCTATGGAACTGGGCATGCACATAGTGTACATGCA